AACCTTAATGGCACCCATTTAGCCACATTGCATAGAGCAGTATTAACTTGCTATTCTCAATAGGTTAGGATGTGGTGATTGGTTTTTTTTCCCCATGGTTTCTTGGTTCTCTATATAGGTAATGTCAAAATATAGGTTTAATATCATAAATATAGACATGCAACTACATTAGACATATCTCTATAGTTTGGATTTGGTTCTAACTTTATTTTTTACATTTTTGAAGATAAATAGTTCAAAGAGAAAACACACTTTATTTAAATAACTTAAGTGATACACTGTAAGAATGACTTTTGAGTCACACTTTTTGTTGTAATCTCAGCTGCTTCATGTGCTGCAACAACGCCACATGCAAGTACTGCACATGTAAGCCAAACTTAAATTGATGAATTTTTCTGAATACATTTTTCAACAAAAGCTGTATAGATCCGTGGCGGTTATTCATACTTTAGCTCAAGGCTACAGGTAACAAAGCAAACTGAGCTAAAGAGGAACCCCTAAGGTTAAAGTAGTTTTCAAGGCTGCATCAAATTTAAACTCCAGCGCTGCATTTTGTTAAGGTTTTATTAATTAATGATCATAAGTTGGAATATTCCAAACACAACACCAACACAGGGGATGAAAAATTAATGACACATGGATGACACACCAACAGCACAAACATTTTGTTGACTGCAGTTAATGAGGTTGTGCTTTTTCCGACATTCTGTAATTGTCAGGTTTTTGGCATTTGACTAATTTGGTCAGTGGCATGTTTGTTTGTTTGTTTGACCAATTATCAAAGATCAGTTTGAAACACCAATCAGAGTTCTCTGTGATTATATCCCCAGCATTTATCAGTTGGTTAGAATATTATTTTACTAGCAGGTGCTGTTATTCACGTTTGCTAAAGCTCACTTTATGTATTAAGTTTATGAAGTATTTACTTAGTCTTAACAGATACCCTTCATGTTGCAAATTAACCAAAATTGTGTCATATTCTTTCAGCGAGAGCTGTGTTTTGACAGCTTGTCTTGTTTTTTTATTTATTTAATTTTATTTCCAATTAACAGCAATCCTCCCGAATGCCTTCTCCGCATCAGCAGCATCTGCACTCCCATCAGCACCACCCTTCGCGCCCGAGAGGACCACCTCCCTTCCAGGAGCATGGGCGCTCCATTCCCCAGCAGCCCCTTCAGCCCCTGATCCCCCCTCACATGGCTCACCGCTCCCCACAGCTGCGGCCCCAGATGGAGCAACCACCACCTCGAATGATGAGCTCCCCACCACCTAGTTTCCCTCAGCATCATCAGCAACAGCCCTCTCAGCCCAAAAACATCCACATAAATCCCCACTTCAGAGGACCTGCACAGTCCTCTGTACAAGGTGGGTTAGCTCACCAATCCCACTGTGTCTTTAAATTAACTTTTCCTTTTTAAATTAGCTGCCTTAGACCCTAATAATTGTTTAGTAATGAGTTTTTGCTCATTTTCAATTGGCGATGATAGAAATAGGTGCTTTACTTTATTATATATTCTTGAAGTAGTTGTTACTATATGATATGAATAAAAATAACTATACCTTTTGAAACTGTGGAAGCACTGGGTATGAAGATGAAGAGATATGGTACCAGGTCATCTGCTGGCGTTCTTTAGAGAAAACTGAAGATACAAAATTGATTTCTTACAATTTGGCTACAGGACAACAGTGCATTTGCAGGCATCCATTTGCATAAAATGACGTTTTTTCTGGACTACAAGGCGCACCTGAAAATTAGACACACAAGCCAAAATTAGGGGAAAACCCTGTTTTGTTCATACCTTAACTGCACTAACTAAAAGCCTCCAGTGCTTTAATTTTTAATTAAAACATGTAAGAGAATATGCACAAAGGAGAATGTCAAGAAAGAGATGGCTGTTTGGGAAACATCCTTTTTATTGACAGTAAAAAAAACAAAAAAAAAACAAGCTACCGCTACATTTTTGGGTTATTTTTTACGTATATGTACGTCTACCTGTAATTGCAAGGACGAAATGGGTACTGTGCTGTTTAAATGAGTAACAAATGTACTGTATAAAAATAAAACACAGCACACCAGAAAAAATAGATTCGGCCTACATTTTGGGCTAAAGTACAGCTTAGGCTTTAACAAGAAGCAAAGTCAGTCATTCATCGCCATTGTCTTCTTTTCCAAGCCACTAAAACCACCAAAGTCCTCCTCTTCAGTGTTGGAAACAAACCGACTCAGGGCAGCTTCATCATCACATGCCCTTCTGCCAGGCAAATTAGTGCCGTACAACAGCGGAGCAAACCAAAACAAATCCTCTTAAGATATCACAAAATCTATAAAAAAGGGCGCATCGTTTGTGAAAAAAAAAGTAGAGACTTATCTTCCAAAAATTACAGTTCTTTGACTTTTGTGATCTCAGAACCAACAAAACAGAAGCTACTCAAACTGTAAATGTTGGATGTAATTTCAGCATAACTGCTTTATTGTAATAGCATCAGAGGTTTATTAAAGGAAATAAATCAACCACAAAAAACATCTAATCATTGTAGATTTAAAGCAGGTTTAGGTATTAAGCAATATCCTTAGCTTTAAACATCCATGCTATAACTGCAAACCTACTGAAAGAGACTGTCCACCTAAATCAGAGCGGACTCCTTTCTAACTTTTTGAGAGCTTTTAGATCTACAGCATCAGTTGATTTCATACAGTTCTGCATTCCATAAACTTGATGTTTAAAAAAATATATATAAGAAGACTTGAATAAGAAGAAGTTAATTTTTTTCACAAGCAACACAGGGGTCACAGTGAAGTTTTGGAGAAGGAGTTTTAGTTTGTTGAAATGGATTTTGAACTTTTAGTAACGTGCAGAAAAAACATATTTGCTGATAAGCAGCATTCCCATAACCCTGGATGCACCAGATCCATTATAAAAGGTAATATTTTGCAGTTGGGATGTTAAAGACTGGATAGGGAAGCTGGTCAGAGTTATTAAAAACCATGAATATTTGTTCTTTCACTTTAAAAGTATGTTTAACTTTATGACGATCAGTCACAGAAATCCCAATAAAATACATTAGATTATAGTGTGATATAAAGAAAAAATAAGACCAAAGGGTGTAGTTCCTCTGTAACAAATTTTGATTCATTTATTGTAGTAATGCCAGCTTTAGGATTTTCAATTTATGTAAAATTCAGAGATATATTTAGGAAGCAGTTTTATGTTTCTGCCACATGTCATTCTTAATGTCCTATAAAAATATCTGTCTAGTTTTGTAAATACTTAGATGTCTTTTATCTGTTTCTCTTAACACCAAATATTTTGTCATCGAGGTTTGGTTATTAGCTGATTGTCCAGGACTGAAAAAGTATCAAAGAGAGAATAATAATAAAGCTAATTTTTCATAGTTTTTAGACAAATCGACTAATGGATACAATCTGACTATCTAATAGTAAAATATTTGTTAAAATTAGATTTCTTTTACACCGCAATCTGTATCTCTCATTTTGCTAAATCATCACTTAAGTTTTCATCCATATCATATATGGCCTTTATTTTAGAATAGAATAGAAAAGAATAGAAAATCCCTTTGTTGTCCCACATTGGGGACATTCTGGTGTTTACAGCGGTAAAAAGATTATAGAAAAAAAAAAAGGTCACACAAGTGTGGACCATATTTTAATTCCTGTTAAAGATCTCATGGATAAAAGCTGATTTATTCAAAGATCTTTAGGATCTCTAAAGATCCTTGAAGGTTGGGGTTTTCATTCGGTCTATTTCTTGAATTTTCAAAAGCATAAAATATGTATTGAGATCACCGATGGGCTTTAAAGACTGTATGTAATGCAATGATTGTCCTGATATGATGCATTTTGTTTCTAGACTTGAAAAGAGGTTTGATAGATGACAAAAGCAGTAAAATAGCCGTTCATCAAACTATTGTGTGCTCATTTCATGACTGTGACAAATAAGCAAAACAGACTAGACTCATGTTCTGTTCCAAATGTACAGAATCCTCTGACATTTGAAAAAAAAATGTGAGAAAGGAGTCTGAAAAGCAGAAGTTTGAAATCAAATATTGTAGGAACCATTGAAATGCAGAGATATGTAGAATTATGTTACCATGCTTTAGTGAATGCATTTTTGTATCTTCGATATTTATTTACACCAGTTTAAGTGGAAAAGTTCCAAATATATTTGATATGCCATTAAAAAAAAAAAAAAAAAAAGAGGTAGTTGCTCCGAAATCAAGCTCATTGAATTATTCGATGGAGGTTAGGAAATGCCAAATACCTTCTTTACTTATTTTTTTATTTATTTAGTTTGGCCTTGAGCTCCCTGTTCCACAACTAGCAATGTATAAAAAAAAGAAAAAAAAGTGTGGTGGGATTAAATATTTTTTGAACCAAGAGCCCTTAGCATAAAGGCATCTCTTCCTCTGTACAAACATTCCCTCTCTCTGCCTACTACCTCTGATTTTCATCATCCACCCCTCCCCCTCCCCTCCTTTTGCCCCTCTCTTCTCATTGCAGTGCCCTTGATGCCTCCTGCTCAGAGCCAATCCAGACCTGCTGTGGGTCCTCAGAGGTTTCCTGTGAGTAGCAGCTGCTCCTCCACCTTCCATTTGCTTCACTTTCTTTCACTAGCCACACGGTCCGTGTCCCTTTATGTTAGAGGAAATATCATTACTTCAATTAGACCAACTGCTCCGGCCAAATAATGTTAAAGAAAATCCGTAAACACTGATAGGAGCTCGGCTGCACGACTGGAAATGCGTGATAGGAGCTTCAGGCAGACGGCTTTTTGAAGGCAGGGGCCGTGGTGACGGGAATTACTTAACAGCTCTTCATGGATGGTTTGGAGCTCAGACAAGCCAGTTTGGCACATAATGGAATTGTGAATACAGGATATACTGCTGGTTAAAATTCACTCCACATGTTTGTGTCCTAGAGAGTCAGAATGGTTCTTAAATGAGATCTGAGCCTGTGAAACATGGTGGTGGATTGATGCTTTTTTCCTCTCCATCTTGGTTGAATGCCATGTTAACAAATGTATCTGATATTAGTGATTTCCTGTAAGAAAGGCCCTCCCATTTCAGTTAAAAAGAAACCCTCCCCAAACCTGACAGAAATATCTTTCCAGTCATTACCACATCAAGGAGACCTGCTTGCCCTAAAGTCAGCTGAAGTCCCCTAAGTTACTCCATCCTTTTAGATAATTACGCCCAGGCATCAGGTGTTGCTGCTGCTGACTGACATATTTTGGGAAATTGCATTTTGTATGGATTTATGCAAATTAGCAATCAGAAAATGACTACATCCAATTGCCTTCATGTGGATGTACAAATGAGCTTGGCTGTTTCTCTGGAGATACTCCTAATGAATGGCTGTATTTTTTATTTATCCATTTCTTGTGTCAGAATGATACTACTCTAGTTGCTTTAAAAGAATTTAGCCTCTTATCAGATAGTCAGAGATGTAATAGGGAGAGAATTTAGACAAGTTGGCACACAACAACCCGATGTTGGATTCCCAGCTGTCAGTCACGTTTAGGCTGCCGTTGCCAAGGACACAATTTGAAATGCAGGTGACACACCAGCCGGCAACTTTCCATTTATCAGTGGACATGTGATTACTAGTGATTATCATACATTATCATCCCATCAAATTTAATTGTTTAAAGGCCAGACTAATGGGAGGGTCATAGCCTCCAGTATTAATGCGCTGAATCTTTGCTTGCGGAGACAGGTTTTGAAATATTAATCTTAAAACCAATTAAAGTCATTGTTAGGAATAATTTTTACACCTTTTTAACCACTAAACTTCAGCCTCTAATGAGTGTTTAGTTTATTCAACAAAAGAATTGATCTTTTTGAATTTTGAAAAAAAAAAAAAAATAGATTGATTGGGGTGTTTTTTTTTTTTTTATGCTTTGAAAACATGTCCACGATACAAATCATTATAATCCTACACGATAATCTGCTGGAAAAGGATGCTTGGCTTACTGCCATCCATAACCAGTCATCTCCTGGTGGGTCCTGCTGATTCTGGTGGCTCTTTAGGAGTTGCTAATGAGGTGTGTGAGCAAGAATTAATGTTGCAAAATCATCTGTGCTGAGGGAGATAACAAACCCCAACTAGCCAGTTCATCGTCCTGCTACACTGTGGTCTGTTTGCTACTGTTTTAAGTAGGATTAAATTGAATCTTTGTTATTTTATCATTGTTAGAGCGATGGACTGTAAAACATTACCCTGAGTGTGTTTGGGCAATTTAAAAGGATAGTTACAACTATCGCTTCATTCATGATATAGTCCAAGTCCCCCTTTAGAAGAAAAAAAAGTCTTCTTTTCATCCCCTTATCAAATATAATGATTTAGACCTTTTCTGTTTTTTATTAAAACATGCTTTAATGAAAATTCAAAGCAAATAATAGTGACATTTGAGCTGTTTCAATTGACTAATCCAGTACCTGTTCGAAAAAGGGTAATAAAACATGTTGAATCTCCTTCTGCTACATATAACTTTAGAAAGAAAACACGATGTATAAAAGCTCAGTAGTTACCTGAAATACATCTTTATTGTTTGAATTAGAACATAACTATGAACTACAAAATACATTCATCATGATGTTTGGCTAAAATGTTGAGATAATAAAAAGCCACAATGTTTCTTCTTAAAACAAAGCCTGTCTGTTAAAGCACTGTAGTTGTAATTGTCAGTAGGAGTAAATATAAGTGGTTTGTTTGAGGCCAGGATGTAAGAGCCTTAAGTTTTACAGAGAAAATGAAGAAGCCTTTGATTTGTTGCAGAGATTGTTTTATGGAGATGCTTCATATAGTCTGCTCATTGATTGGACTGCCAACTTTAGAGAGGGAGAAACGTTAAAAGGGTGATAGAATGCAAAACCAAGTTTACCTTGTCATAGATGATTAACGATAGTTCAGTGGGTGAAATGGACGTACAGAGAAATTCAAACCCCATAGACACCTCCTTTCTCTGCAAACCTCACAATTCTAAACGTCCACCATAAAACGGGCGAACGAACGAAGCACAGAGTTGACGTAATCTCGGTGATGTTGCCTTATTTGGTTCTGGCCTGTACTTTTATCACGTCCCGAAATTGACATACAGACCAGCTCACTGGTTCACTGGCCCAAGAACATGAATAGAGGTAGATGTAAGACACCAGTTTAGCTGTTTAGCCTACAGTTGGATTTACTTCTACAAGAATTACAAAGCAGGCAGTTTCTCTATTGAAAATGAGCCAGAACCATGGGCTTAAATGCAGTATTTGTTAGAGAAAAGAGGGATCTGCTAGGCCGCTGACTGGAACGGGCATTCCAACCGAGCCATCAGCTCTGGGGCTGGTCCGGGAATCCCGGCGGATAGGGGAAACGAGTCAGCGGAGGATGGAGGGACCGAACCGGTGACGGTATGCTTCCCTGCCTTACCGTGCTACCGTGAGGCAGGCAGGGGTAAGCACAGGGTCGCCTGTGTCCAGGTTACCGTCACCGGGTCGGTTTTGGTCATTCCGTTCCCCGCTGGCTCCCTCCCCCCATCTGTCGGAGTTCGGTTCTGCTGCGTTGTAGTCGACCAAAATCCCAGAAGATTTTGAAATTCCCCTCTTTAATTTTTTTAGGTAGGTAAAGTAGAACATGTCTGGTCACCCTGCCAGATCAACAATTTGATGTTTCAGTGAGTGAGTGCTTGTTGCTATGATGCGTCTTTGCTCAGCAGCTTCGCTCGTCGTAAACGATCTGGTTGTAGCACTCAGAAACTATCCTCACAACTCTGGAGCGTTTAAGAAAATACATTTTAACTTGTTTTGCAAGATGTTGTAACATCTTTTTTTGCCATGATCTGTGTTCACTGGCCTTATTTTTTGTTCAGTTTTATCAAAGCACGTGTTTCCATGTCTGGGTGACACAACGCTTTCAGAAAAAAAAAGGGGGATGAAGGGGAGTTGCAGTTGCCCTTTCCACTATATGATAAGGAAATACTGCGGGTAAACAACTAATTTATTTAAAGATGATTTGTTCTAAAGTAATTGTTTCGTTTTACCAGCAGGTCTCTTTTGGTTTATAGTACAGACGACCTGATACAACTTTTCATTTCTGATACAATACAGATTTGGCACTTTTGAGATCTGACCAATACCAATATTTTTACAATTCGATATCGGCACAAATCATACCTCATTTGAATACTATTTTTGTAGTGTGGAATGTTAGAAAAGGTTTGATCAAGCCATATTACTCACACTGAGAATAGTCAGCAATGATAGATATGAGTACAACTGACCCATTTATTGTTAACCAACAGGTTACCCAAACAGAGTCCCAACAGAAATTAGATGGAGAATCTGTGGATGGGTCTAGAGATATTGGTGATCTGTTACACTTTTACCAGTCAGATGATCCTAATAGGGATTGCAACAAAGATAAATTGGAAAGAAGCGTAACGTAAAGCTTCCAGATGCCAACATATGAATAAATTGATTTTAACGTGACATTTATGCATTTTTTTAACATTTTAGCTCTACATTTTAGTCTTGGCTTTTCTTAAAATAACCTTCTTATTAAAATCAAATGTTCATTATTTATTAGGTGTGTTAACATTTGGCCTTCCTCTAATATATTTGCCCATATTATACCTTCTTAGCTTGGAGCTGTCCCAGCTTCACTCAAATATTGAGCTTTGCAGACGCTATTTTATCAAGGATTAGAAGTGAGAGGATGAGCTGTGGTATTTGAGAGGTATTATACGGACACGAGAGTCCTCATTGTGCAAACCCGTCTGTCTGACCTTTTAGAATAGTATGATTGTGCCCCCTTTGTGATCCCCTGTCTTTGTAAGCTCCTTTGATTAACTTTATGTTAAGCAAGTTTTGGGGACTCTGGCCTTGCTTTTTAACACCTCTTTTCTCTAAATACCTCCATGCGGTGGTTTAGTAAAGATGGATTAGGCCTTGATAGCATCTTAAGTAATTTACAATAGGTTTGGAGAAGGCAAGCAGCCCATTTGTGGAAGTGCCACGTGTTGAATAGGAGGTTAATTTTTCAACAAAGATGGATGTTTAAAGAATAAAGGAGACAGTTATGAAGAGGGATTCAAATTCCAAGGAGGGATTAAATAGTCATCTGTTTTTCTTGGTTAAATTGATTGGATGTAGAGTAGGTGCAATGCTGTCGACCAGACGAAGTGGTTGAAACAAAGATGAGGGAACCTATTCCCTTCTAAAACACCCGTTCCTCGTTAAGAGGCCGACTCTTCATTTATATCAATAAAGCCCCAAGAAATATTAATGCAGGTTTGCAGGAATACACGCTGAAGGGTTCCTTTAGTATTGGCATACATATTGATGTTTACAACTTAAGACTCTACGTCTGTTTAATGACCCTGGCACTTCAATTACGCCCAGTGTAATTCTCCTCCAATTCCCTTTATTAGGTAGGTTCTTTTTTTTTTTTTCAATTATCGAGTTTTCAGTCTGGCAAATGATTCATGAGTTTTGTGGGTTTTTCAGGGCCTGGGAGATTTCCAGCCGCACATGCCGGCTAATTTTGGTCCATCCCACCGACTGCCTCATCACATGGAGCCCTTAAGGAACCAGCCACCTCAAGGCCCCCAGGACAGAGAGCCTATATTTATGGGAGGTGAGTCTTAACGCCTAGCCTTGATGAGTGTTACGAAGCTTTCTGAGCATATTGAGCCCCTCTTCATCACCTCTAGCACTATACCTAGAGGGTATGCTGCCAGCTCTCTAGTGTTTCTGTATTAGCAGATCTCATGTTAAATGCATGTGTGTATATACATGTGAATGAACCTTGAAAATGGCATTAAACATAAATATTTATGATTTTTCTTTTTTTGTACCCGTTATTAATGCAAAATTGATTGCCTATGTTCATGTTTACCTCTTTACCCTAATAGAGCTGTCTACTGTTTTTCATGCAACAATTTGGAGAGGTTGTGATTTGTTTTGAAGTTTCTTCTTCAGTAGAAAGGGATCACAGTTGTGTTGTTATTTTGTCTTCCCGGTGTGGACACAGACTGCGGAGAATCATCCCGATTTCCAGGGCAGCACATGTTCGATCACCCGGGGCCCGGCTCTTTGATGAACAGCGGCAACAACCTCCACCACCAGCAGCAGCTGCCCGGTCAGGGCCACATGGGCTTCGGCCCTCCTGGACCACCCTTCAACCAGCCGGGCCAGGGCCCGTTAGGACATTTTCAGAGAGAACCCCCAAGACCCAACCTCCCCCCACACCAAGGTCATCAGGGGATGGCGAACATGAATCAACAAGGTGGCCCCCCAAACCAACCCCGACCTTTCATGAACCCTCGGCAGCCATTTGGCCAGCAGGGTAGCACCTTCCCCCCTCCACCATTTCAGTTTGGGATGCAGGTACGACTAAGAGTAAGTGATCTTTCTATTATTCATTTATTTGTCTTGTCTATGCGCTACTTCATTTTCTTCTGTTAGGTGTTTTGAGTACTTACATTTTTGAAGAGAAACACACTACAGCTCCCCCTAGTGAGAGCATCCTTATTGCATGACGGATGTAGAAGTGGAAAAAGTTGTATTTATATAACACATAATTTTCTCTGGCCAAAGGATGTAGATCATATCTGAAACTCCACAACAGATAAAATAACATGAAACTTGAGTTTAGGTTAAGTCCCAGTAAACATGTATGGAATAAACATCCAGAAAGGAAATACAGTCAGAATAATAAGCAGACATTTAAGGCCAAGTTAAGATTTTAGACTTGGTTTAAAGAGTCTCATGGTTGAGGTTACTTAATAAAAAAAAATTAATTGCATCTGAGAAGCACTTATTAATTTATTCTGAAATGTATTTCATTCACAAATAAATTCATCATAAAGTGTGTTGGTGATTCTATGATAGCTCCTTAACTCAAGGACCAAGAAGAGTGATTCAGAAATTTATGAATCCTAAAGTTGACTGTTTTTTTTCCTGATATGAATCAGTTTTAACTTTGTGTTGCTGTTGATTGGATCCTTCACCCTTAAAAAATAAGTCAAATCCAACAAGCCGAACTTCTGTTTCTGTTTTTGAAGAACTGTGCTAACTAAAATGTTGACGTATTTAAAGGAAATGGAGAAAATGTTTTAAATGCAAAAAAAGGAAACATTTACATCGCATTTGAATAGATAGAAACGAGAACTATGAGGAAAAAAATATTTGAAGATGCATGTACCTTTTCACCTGGTTCTTTATCCAAAAATAAACAGTATGCAATGAAATATTTGCTTTGGATATAATTTAGATATTCCTTTTGGTAGAAAATAAAGAATGTTTAGTATCACTTCTTATGAGCTGGAAGAAATACAATTTTTTACGCTTGGCAGAGGATGATCAGCCTCATATAGTTTATTAAGTAGCAAGAGCAGGAAAAGACATACTGCTGAGCGCGAACCATCAGTGTGGAGGGAGAGAAGCGCAGACTCTGAGCGATGCATGCACAAAGAAACATTTGGGTTGCGTGTTCAAACAGGAAGCAGCTGCACGGCTGATACTGCTTAGCAGATTACAGCACAATGCATTTTAAATGTCTGACAGACCACCCACTAATTTTTGTCTCATGTTGTCTCGTTGACTAAAACTCACACCCATAACTCTGAAGTTTTCATCAACAAAGATCCATGTTTAGCTCGTCAGTTTTCGTTATCGTCATGAAAAAAAGGAGCGTCAACAAAATAATTTAGTCATTGTCTTCATTGATGAAAACAACACTGTGAGTAAGAAGTTTTTTTTTTTATGTTTTTAAATGAGAAAGTCCTCCTGAAAACACCATCTGTGCAGTTGATTAACATTACAATCCTGCCTTCAAATATTATTTTGCTGTTGGAGCCGCTCAGACCGCCATTGAACGGCCAGTACCTGCATGTCAGATGCTCAGACGCTCATGAGGTGCTGCTTCTGCTGCTCATAACGCACTGCAGAACCTTTGGCTGCGCGTTGATGCGCTTCAACCATAAACTTTGCATGTAAATTCTGCTGCTTCTAGGGCTTGTGGTCTGGATGTAACATTAGTCATCTGGCATATTAAATAAATCAATATGCCAGTGGAATGAGTATTTTTACTCTTAGAATATGATAATTAGGTATTATACATTTAAATAAGACAATGTGATTGTTTTTGTTTATAGATAGCTATAAGTTACTGCTATAAATTGCCAGGTTGGAAGATAGCTAATTTTATTGCCCTTGAATCATATATCAGACCAAGTAAGGCTGACAGACTAGTAATTAACATGTTTACATAGAACTGAACTCAATTAGTTGGATTTTTGTTTTCAAAAATCTTGTGTCTTAAATTTAAATCAGAATACTCCTTGAAAACAATAACCTTCAAACACTAAGAAACTGGAAGGCATGGCAACAACAAGAGCCTACAGCTGGAGGGAAATGTTTGTGTGTTGGGATATTTTAGACCTATTTTAGAAATGTTTTTATCTAAATGGGGATCTGAATATGGAATAACTCTAGTTTTTCACCGGGTGCTACTTATATTAAGTTGGGAAAATAATAAAGCTCAGCTCTGTGGAGCTGGATGTCATTGGCATTTCAAGGAAAGGCATTTTTGGGCTTTCTCCTCTTTTTTTTCCTTGTTGGGGCTTTTGCTGGAAAAAAAAATAAAGGCCCCACAACCAACCCTTGTGATATCTCACTGAAGATGGAGCAATAAAATACAAGAAGTTTCTTGATTCTGCACAAGTTGCTTAGTGTATTACAGGGTAATAAAGAATGAAGAAATCTAATGTTCTGAAAGTGCTTGTTTAAATGGGTATGCATTCTGCTTCCATTGTAGGGCTTGTTACAAACGCCGCCTGTCAACCAGCTGACGCATCACGACCCCTTATCACCCCATTCCATGCACCAGCAGCAGCCCCACCACCATAGGCAAGAGATGCCCCATCAGCAGCACCAACAGATAAATCTCAACGAGCCTCGGCCCATGTCACATCATGGTCAGAATCCTTTCCATCAGCAGCAGGGACATGGTGGCCCCAGGCATACGAATCCCCGTTCCCAGAACCCCCCACAGAGGAACATGTCAAACAGGCAGAGAATGGTAAGAGATTATCCTACACGCTCGTTATTTTGCTGCGTCCGTGTCACACAGATCAGTCTCATTTAATTTTGTCTTAAGGTAGAAAAACGCAGTTTTATTTAAGGCAGAAATTATGCAAAGATTACAAAATAATCTAAGATACAGGTCAAATCTTTTTATTTTTTCCTGTCATGTTACCATGTCTTCAGAGCACACCCGTCTCCAAACAAATGCAGCATCGCAACAGCAACCTACGGGAGCTCCCTGTAGCACCTGGTAACACTAACATGAACAGTTCCTCCCCTGCTGCCAACATCAAGCCTGTTGCCAGGACAACGCCAGGGACGCGTCCGGGGCAGAACGCTCAGCTGGCGTATGGTGGCGGCAGAGGAAGAGGCCAAGCTGCGAAGACTGAACCACAGGCTGGGGGGACAGGCAGGGTGGTGACTCAACAGGAAGCTCCAAATGCATCATCCAGCTTAACACCAGAGGTCAGCGATTTAGGATCGGACCCAAATCCAGGCAAAACAAAAAAATAAGGATGAAAATCACTGTATAGATAATTGAGTTTTAAATCTATATGATTAACATAACTAATTTTTTCTTATAAAATAATTTTCTTTTTATGTATAAACAGTACTAAGAAAAAAAAACTTCATAAGAAGGAAATGTAATGGTCACTGTTTTCATGGGTCTGTTTAAGCGATGTGACTCTCTTAGCCCCAGACCGCTCTATGGAAGGCAGAGCTCAGCTAAAAATGATCCATTAAAAACATTTGAACCGCAGTGTAAAATAATCAACTAATTTAATGGTTTATTAGGTTAAAATTAAGTCCATCCAAACTGATATTGTCCACTTAGATGCACCATTTTTCAGTGTTGTAGTGTTATCCACTAGAGGGCGCCTCTGTTCATTCTTAAGCAGAGCCTCAGAGAAAATAAATGCCAGAGTGGAGGCATGCTAGCTCAGAAACATTTATTGATCGAGAGTCTGGTTCAGCGTTATTTATTCTGTTTAGTGAACTTTGTGCTGTTCTGCTTAAAAAAGGAAAAAATTTGAAACTCCTCAATATCGCCCATTTTGCTGTGCTGCATTGAATTTTCTGTTGTGCTTGGGTGGCACAGTGGAAGCGTCTGCTGCTTTTTTGAAAGTATAGTATCTTTGCAGTCCATGCTCGGGGTCAGCATAAGGGTTTCAATTTTGGTGGGCACACTCTTAATGCATATTAATGCATGTTTCCTACCATTGAAGGGGTCCCAAGGCCTTATTAGAAGTTCAATCTTTGATTGTTTATATTCTATTTGTCTATAGGGGTCCACAGATAGAAAGAAATCCAGCATATTCATAATGAAATATTCATGATGAGAAAACAATCACATTAAGTTTTTAACCATCAGAAAAGTTTGATCTTTATAGCCAATGCTAACCATTTTGCTAATAACACTACATTCCCCAAACATTTCTGGTCATTGTTTATGTTTCCGGTATGTTTGTTTTTACCACTTTTCCTAAATTAAATCAAAAAGACATTGTTTTTGAGAAAAAAACTGAGTTTGAACTAATGCAGTTTAGGCTTAGTCTTGAACCACTTTATTAATTGGAGCAGGGGCAATTAATTTGAGCAGTACGGACATAGAAACAAAGCAAAGAATAAACATGTAAAAACATAAAAATATGATGATTAAAAAGAAAAATGTGATGGGGAGTTTGAGGACCAAAATTAAGCTGTGTTTTAATCTCACTATTTTCATGTATAGTTTCAGAAACTATATGGTGGTAGCTTTCAAATGGTGTATCAAACATGTAATTTAGTCTTACTGTTCCTTTGCTATTTGCTTTCCATTTTGGTATGCAAAAAGTCTAGGATTACTTAAAACAAGGTGGATGTTACAAGTTCAATCACAGTTTAAAAATGTGTTTTAACATGTTATTTGTGATGCAGGACCCTAATGAAGATGAAGAGACACGGCAGTACCGTCTGAAGATTGAGGAGCAGAAGAGACTGAGGGAGGAGATCCTTAGAAAGAAGGAGTTGCGGCGGCAAATGCAGGCTGGTGTCCGGAAGAAGGAGCTGCTGGAGAGACTTAATGCTCAGTCAAATACACCAAACCAAGACACTACTCCTACACAGGCTCAGCCTTTGCAACCAAATCAGCAAAAACAGCAGCCAGAACAAAAAGTGCAACAACTGCAGACACAGCAGCAGAGGATTGTTGCTCAGAGACCACAGCAGTCAGTAAATCACACATTAACCAATCCTAACCTAGACAGCGCCCCTCCTCCTTGCAATTCTGCTCAGAACCCTGCACTGCGTCCCAACATCAAGTCGCGCCTGCAGATGGTCAAAGGGAACACACAGGAGCAGCAGACCCCCAGCTCAGGTCCTGAACAGCAATGGAAGCCGCCCCAACAGAATCAGCAGCAGCTACTTCAGCAACAAAGGAGAAACAGTTCTTTGCAGACTGTAAACAGACCTGGCGCTCAAGTTCCTCCAAAAAACGCCCCTCCTTCAGGCCCATCTCAGACTCAAGGACCTAAATCTGGGGCTAAAAGAACTGTGATGCAGCGAGCCAAAAGTTCTGATATGGAGGCCCAGCACGTGCCACAAAAAGTCAGAGTTGTCAAACTTTCTGGACCGGTGAGCACAAATCCATTTTAATTTGACACCTTCTTTTGTGTCTGACATTTATTTGGTCCTTTCCTGTAGATTTTTACCCACATGGGAAACTACATAGCTGGGAAAGGAAATGCCATTGATACCCCCTTGCTGTCTATTTTGTATTCTACTTGATATCTAACCTATGAGAATGACACAGATGTCCAAGTCATTTTGGTACAATTGATCTGTTAAACATCTCTTCTGTTCAGCTTTAGGAAACCTCAATGTCTTTACATACTTTTTACCTTTTCTAACTCAGAGTCGGGTGTCATTAATAGGAAAAAAAAGGGCATTTTGACATTTATGTGTAGAGTTGGGGAGGGACTCCTCAGCTCTGCTTTGAAAGGTTGATTTGGAGAACAGCTATACTTGCTCTTACAGGCTTGTGAGCAAATCAAGCATAACAAGATGTCCATTTGTGGTTATCCCACCATCTCCTGAAACAGGAAATTTTAAAGCTCTTCATGCCTCTCTATTTTCCCTTGTGTTGCCATCGTGAAATTCTAGTTTTTCATTGGAATATCTTTTTTTATTAGATTGTACCACAAACAATGCAGTTTTGAGCTGGACAAAATCGCAACAGGTGATCAAAATCTGAAAGGAATCTAAAATAGCTGCAAAAAGGCTCAGTCATAGTGTATAAATATAGAACAGTAACTTTAAATCTTCTTAGATGCTCAGTTGGATTTAGATCTTAACTTTTGTGGGAGCTAGGGGAGTAAATAATCGTTTTATATCGATGCATCGATCCAACAGCCGACGAGCCGATGCATCGACACATCCGCAAGATAATCGATTCATGTTTTTTTTTTTCCTCCGGTCTATTTTGATCCATTTGCTCCTGGGCGTAATTCTCCCTCCCGTGCTGCGGTGACGCTAAACCTATTTTGCCCTCCTACCTCGCTTCCTGGTTATACTCTTACAGCAGTGTGTTGCAGCAAGCTTGACACAGACATTTTTCAATTATGCTCAATATTGTAGCGTGGTCTGTGCTACACACTGTGGGTCTAGATACGGCCGAGGCGGAGAGGAAGTGGGGGCAAGTTTAGTCTGACGGCGGAGGGACATGATGCCAAAAAGAGCAGAGATCCAGGTGGAAAAAGGCTCCCAGCGTTCTCGTGCACCTCGCTTTTCTAGCAGGTCAAACTTCACAAGTTGTTATCCACAATTTCGGTCATAAAAACAAAACAAGCTGGCCTCCTGTCTGCGACACTGTTTGCGGTCAGCTACAATTTGGGAGAGGTGCAGCGGAGCATCTGTGGAGGGGGCGGGGACGTCTGGAGCAGAGGTATTGAATTGCACTCATTGCACTGTTTTTGTGCAGTATATTTTGATGCAACTTTTCTACTTCTGTTATTTGCTGTTTCTAAAAAAAAAATTCATAACGATATTACAGTTTAATTGATTTATTTCAAACTTGAAACTTTGTTTAGCCTGTAAGGTGTAAAAAAAAAAATCAAAAAAAAAATCGATGAATCGAATCGTGGTATATTCGAATCGTGGTGTATTCTTGAGTATCGAAAATAATCGAATCGTTGGGTCAGGAAATCGATCCTGAATCGAATCGCCATGATGGGTGTGATTTACACCCCTAATGGGAGCAGTAATTGATATAGTCAGGCTTCAGTTGTGGTTTTGACTTTATGCCATCCTGTTTGAATCTCAGACTCAGCCTCTAACAGTCCAGGATACTCTGATTTATACTCAATTGTACTTTATAAAAAGACAGATCACTTATTTTACTCACTATAAGTGTGCTAAAATATAAATAGGTGTGTTAAAGGTTAAGTATTTATTTTTTCTAAGAGATTAAATGCGTTTACATCCTCTCTATTGCCTCACACGTTTGTGCCCGATCTGTCCTGGAAATGGGATCATTCTGTACTTTCAGCATATAACTTATTTTGAATTAGGATTTCCACATAAATATAGTGAATTAATTTGTTCTGTTTTCTTTCTTTGTGCCTTTATGGTATATAGTGCATACTATACAAAAGATGCAACTAAAGTCCAGATAGACATGGTGTAATTATATTTTGCCCTTCTGCTCAGAGCATATCCGATGATAACGTCAGACAACACAGAGAGAGTGTAAAACACATTCAATTCTCTCTGAAAAGTTGTTAAATAAGCTCTATAACATGTAGTTCTGCATTCTTTAGAATAAGTACTTTCAGCACCGTAATCACACTGTTTATGGTGACCTGGGTGAATATATCCGCTTGCACGTGTGCAAATACTTCCACTACGAATCTGGTAGAGACAGGCTTCCCTGTTCCTGCTGAAGAGAGTCCCTGATAATGATGCGACCGCCACCATATTTCATTTTAGAGATGCTGAGCTAAGTATTTTTTAGCCGTGGACCCCGGTAGCTCTTCCATCATGACACCAACATCTTAGGGTTTAACCCGTTGGCTCCCACTGCTTGACCCGGATCGTTTTAACTTCGCATTTTATTCTATATCTAACAGCAAGCATATTTGTAAACAAAAACCTAAAGAAACCCTAAAGAAAATGACCAACTCAATTGTAAGCCAATTATACTCTACAAACAAGAACTAATAATCTCTTAACAAATTAAAAGTTATAATTTTCACCTGTTACCTTTTTTTCCGTCTTTTGGCATTACAGAACACATTCTATCGTGGCATAAATTGGCTAATTTTGTCGGTAACACTTCACGTAAAAGTAACATCCAGGTGTATTTCCCATAAAATAAAACCACTTGTTGAAACAATCAACCAAAGTTATTTTTCCCCATGAAGAAATATAAATTTGATAAAAGCTAATTTTTCCTGTGTCTACTGACATATGTCTGCATTTTTAGATGATTTACTTTACATGGGCTTATTCACCACCTGTTTGCTCCCAAAATCAAGCAGAAGTTCCTTTCTTAGTATGTAGAATACATCAGAGACGTCCTGTATGTTAGAAACGCCGTCCCCAGGCGCATGCGTCACTGTAGTCTTTGCTCTGCTGCAACTCCAAAAAAATCAGTGACCAATCAAACTCTGACATACTTTGTTAGCCAATGAGAGAAGCTTTTCAATGAAGTATTGGAAGTTTAGGGGCGGGCTTAAAAGATGGTTCTTATTTATGTGCGCAAGAAGGGAGAGGAGAATAGAAATTACTTGTTATAAAGAAAATGCATACTCCAACTTCTGAAAAGTTGAAAATTTGAAATATAAAAATAATAGCTTGAATGCATTTTGTGTAAAGCCACTATGTAGATATTATTTTTTTAATGGTCAAACTAGTCATAAAATTATAATAACCCAGTTTGGCACTTTTGGTCCTAATTCTGTGACGAATGAACCTTTTTGCTTATAAGAATGGATCACAGGTTCCCAATGCTGAGGACTAGAGATCTGACATCTTACACAGTTGTTGTAAGAATCATGATTTGGAGAGGTCATCTATGATTAAATAGAGAATATTAAAATAGCTTTTTTTATGCAAGAGAAGAAAAAATGATAATTTTGAACCTGTTTAAAGCTACATTGGTCATGTTGTGTTAAACGTAACAAGTTTGTTCTTATATATCTCTAAAAACTTGACAGTCTTAGCTTTCAAATGAGATGCCTCACAAATGTGTGGGATTTATAATATTTTACTGGCCAGTGGCCAATGACATTTGCGTTTTTGCACAAGCTATAAAAAAGTGTAATAGGTAACAGTGTTCTGTAAGACTTTCAAAGTTTTTCTTTATAATCTAACCCTGCCTTAGATAATGAATTCCTTCATCTCTAACCTGCATGCTGTGTTTCCAGGCCATGATTATGCTTTTTCTAACAAGTTTCTGAGGCGTTCAGGGAACAGCTGGGGTTTTACTGAGTTAGATTATAGTTGCTGTTGAAGATAGTTGGCTCCTGATGGCAGTGGATTACAAAGAAATCTCAATAAACACGTTGAAATGTGGGGTACTAATATGACAAGCTGTGAAAAAGTTCAATAGGTATGAGGTGCTTTAAGTTAGTGCTTTGTTCTTTAATACACGCTAATCTTTTTTTTGTTGAAAAAACTAACAAAAGGATGTGTGTTAAGCATTAATGCTCATCCCTGAAGAGACATGTTGGAAAGATGTCATATTATTTAAAATAAGCCGCTTTCAGGCCTCGTCTCAGATGATGAATCAGCTGCGCTAAAGGAGCAGGCTGGCTACAGATGAAGTTCACGGAAAGTCATTGGTTAATATTTGCTACACATTGAAGGAAATCTGAAGTAGAGTGGAGAAATGGCTAAAACCTAAATGCCTCGTAAGTTTCAGAGTGAAGAAGATTCTCCTACACTGTTCTGCTGTCATCAACAAGAGCTTGACAATGTTATCTCCTCTTATTCCCCTTCCCTCTTCCCGCTTGTCATCCCTCACTTGATTTTCATATCAGCCCATCTCTCAGGTGTGAGGCAACAAAAGCTGCCAATCCAGGAACCTTGTAATTAATCTTTCTTGGTTGAAGGTGCAGAGGGAATAAGACTACCTGTGTAAGAAAGTTGCCACTTTTCAGGATTTGGATTTCTATAGCTTAGGCACAGAGATAAGAGGCAAATTATATTTTCATCAGGAGGTAATACAAAAGCAGTGCAAAACACAAAAGCTCAGGAAAATGGGGGGTGTGTGTGAAGTGGGGGGGATGGGATACAAATCGAGCTGCTGTCGCTTCAGTGTAATGCAGCTTAGCATTTGATGGGCGCAATCAGGAGCTGTGATTTCTATAGAAGGGATTAATCCATTTACTCCTCGCTGGGGACAGGTCAGAGATAGAGCCTCTTTTCTTCCCATGTATTGATCTGTCACATCTTTCTGCAGAGTCTGAGAAGGGACGACCTTCAATTCCTCGCTGCGTGTCAACAGAGCAGAGCTGTGACTTTATTTGATAATGAGACCATCACCTTGTTGGGTTGATCTTTATTGTCTGCAGAGTGGCTGATAGAAATCCAGTTCCAGCGATTGCAGATATTTAGTTTCCTTTGTGGAGATCCTTACGCAACCCTCCATTGTATCATATTCAGTGCCTTGCAAAAGTCCGAATAGCCTTTGAATTGTTTTATATTTTATTTGTGTTACACACAAATGATTTATGGGTGATCGACATAAATGAATATGCATTAATGAAGGGAAACGAAATTTGCATTTTTTTATGCATGTTATGTCTGGGATACAGGGACAGGAAACATGAAGAAAATCATTTATATGTATAAGATACACAAAGAGGAGCAGAATAAAAAAAAAAAAAAAAACTAAGTCAGTGCATTTATCCATTGTTCACATCCAGAGTGGAAAGGGGCCTGAGGCGAGCAGCAGCCCAGTACAGCAGCAAGGCACCTGGCAAGCAGCTCCAGTCAACCAGAGCATCCAAAGGAAGGTGACCATGATGGGACAGCAGCAAACGGGACCAGGTGGAGCACCGGAGGCTAGCTGTGGGGGCACAGGAGATACACAGCAGAGCAGGGTATGACATAAAAGAGATCCCTCCATGTGTCTTTAGTTTTAAGGACACTAATAATCTTTTCACCTGAAATGTATTTATTAACCATGTCGACTTTTGTTTCATGCATGCCAAAATGTCTCCTGTTAAAATGCATGATCCTGGAGCTCAGTAGATGTACCAATCAGGCAGTAGGACAGGACAGGGAGCCAGGTTCAGGAGTATTGACAGGCTGAGAGCAGCAGAACAAGCAGGGCTCCACCATTTCCCCTGGCCTTTATGCGCATATGTCACCACCCGCCTCCCGTCAATGATTTCATACCCACAGATGCTGACAGTGTAAGGCAGCCACCACTACGCCTGCATGGCTGCTCTCTCTTTATGCTCCCCTGTTCCCCCCACCTCCTCTTTCTTTGGGGGCTTCTCCCTCCCCATTTTTTCCTGCACTGGGGGAAATCTGCCTCTCTCAAACATGATCATATGAAGATATGTCATGCAGTCTGGCATCATCTTCTGTCGTTTATGTTCTGTGTAAAAATATGATGAGTCAATCACGTTACAAGTTTGAAAGTCAAGAGAGACATATGTGGATTTTTAAATGTGCCTTTACCTAAAGACATCTCTTTAGTTTTTTTTTTTTTTTAGCAAAATTGTTAAAGAAGGAGCTGGTTGTGGCTTTTATTTTAGGCCTTGTGTCATTTTCACACTCAATCCTTGGTTTTAGGTTGTGGTATCGGGCCGGGGTCGAGGTAGAGGCATCGGAAGGGGTCAACCATTGCCCACTAGGCAAAGCCAGAGAGGACCAGATAACGCTCACAGTACCGTGTGCATCCAGGGCCTCTCCTCATCTACAACTGAAAATCAGCTCAAGAACCTCCTCATGTCCATCGGCCCCGTAGAGGTAGGGGCCAAACACATCACACCTTTAGAACCAAACACCTTTTATGTTGTACCAGTTTTACCTAAAAAAAAAAAAATTGATTTATTATTTTGTTTCCATTTTTTTATCTGAAAAAAAAAAAAAGTTTTTAAAAATTTGAAAAGATATTGTAATTTTTTGTGCACAGTACACATCATGTCTATGTAATAAACATTCCTCATGTGGAAAGTGACAAACCCTCTAGCCCGGAGGTCTTCAACAAGGGGTCTGCGACCCCTAGGGGTCCACGGAGGTTCTGCATGGGGGTCGCGAAGGCTTCGGTTGATTAGACTTTTTATATTCTCCCCTGAAATTTTTTACACTAATTGAAATGTCTTTAAATACACACCGACATGAATTCAACACACTGAAGTAAACAGATAAATGAAGGCAGAAGATGTCTTACAGTCATCAATGAACACATTAAGCGACACACAGGAGCTCTTTCAGGCTGAGAACTGTTTCATTCACAACACCTGTCCCATCAACCAGGAATCAGAATCAGAAATACTTTAATAATCCCAGGGAGAAATGACTTTTGTTATATTACTCCATCTGTAATAGAGTGACTATAGGACCAGTTTGATATAACAGAATTTCTTACAATATACATATTTAGGGGGTCCCAGCTCAATCTCGCCATTAGTTTTGGGGTCCTTGGCCTGGAAAACATTGAAGACCCCTGCTCCAGCGTAACAATACTAAAGAACCCAGAGCCAACATGATCCCCATGGTGGTGGCAGCATCATGCTGTGGGGATGTTTTTCTCTAGTAAGTATAGGGAAGTTTGTCCAAGCTGATTGCAATATGGATGGAGCAAAACCCAAAAACATATATCCATGTCTTTGGTTGGCTCAGTTCATCAGAACTAGATGGTGGTGATGATGAAGCAATTATCTGTAGGGGATGTTTTACTACCCAAGATTAGTTTCCTTTTGCTCCTTTATAGTGATAATTAATCCCTGATTGATATGATGTAAGACTGTTAAAGGTTTTGTGTTGAGGATGAAGAAAAACGCTAAAATACTTTTATACCAGTACTTCTGTTTGTGATGATAATAAAATGATAACAGCAATGTTAAGTGATAACATCTATGCTTATAAACGTAATAACAACGTAACGTTACATAATAACGTAATTAACACAATTATCACGACTCAACGCCAGATAAGCAGATTAAGATGGATGGAATTTTATCATATTTTCTCTTTGAAGTTTTAATACCTTTTCTGTGTTGGAAATAGCAGTTTTATGTTAGGAATGACATAAAGCTGAAGTATTTTTTTGCTTTTCAGCTTTTGGCAAATTGGCAAAATGACAAACTGATCAGAAATGTTGTTTTGCCTTTACACTATATGTTATTTATCAAGACACCATATTTTAGATAAGCTGGTGCTAAACTAAGATCCTGTTGTATTTAAAAAAGTTAACATTTGTTTCCATCCTGAACCCACAGTCATCCCACTGAGTCTAGACCTAAATACAATGTGCAGTAAGAATTTAAAAGGAATATTCTCAAAAATACTAATCTAATTGAGCTTGATTTATTTAGCAAAAACATCACTTTCTCTGGAATGTCAAACACAGTTACAATTTAAAATTTTTATTTGTTTAAAAAAAAAATGCTATTTTTAAATATCGATAATTTTCCTTCAACTTTACTTTGGTCTACTTTTGTTGTATATATTTCTTAAAAAAACATTGATGTTTGTGGTGTCAATGTGTAAAAACATGAAAAAAGTTCAATGGAAATGAAATTTAACCCTCTGCAGTTTAAAAAGAAAAAAGCGATCTCATAGCGTCCTCTGTTGGGATGATGTGGAAGTTGAATAAATAATACCAGATTGCGTCTCATTCTCCTGTGTATTTGATAAGTATCTCACTCTATTCACTTTGTCCTGTCCTTCTCTGTCTCCTGCAGATGTTTAAAATGATGCCCCAGCAGAGAAAAGCAATTGCTAAATTTTCCAACCCCCAGCATGCAGCAAGCTTCCAAATGAGCTTCCATAGGTAATCGATACTCACCTTCCCACCATCTTTGTTTGCATAATGAAACGATTACAAACACTGATAGTCTGTGATGGTTTCATTTTAGCTGTTGCACAGTGTCTTATATATCTCATCAGTCAGGGGTTCAAACAATAATATCACCGTTGCTACACAGGCACATGATTGATTTGTCCCACATTGACGTGTCGCTGATTGACGGATGAGGAGCGCCACCGATTCACCGAAGGGTCTCTTTCCCCTGGTTTTGTGTGGGAGTTTCTTGTACCTTGCTCTGCTCTACACGGTTGTGGGATTATTTCAACTCGCTCGTCGTCTCGTCGCAGATTTCATCATTCGTCTCCCTCCTGCCTGGACAAGTGAACACAAAGATAGCTGTGTGCATGCGTGTGTTTAACTTTGCCTACCAAGAGGCTCTAGATGTAAAATATCTTTGAACAGACACTAAATACTGACTCCTCTGATGTTTGAGAACTTTCTTTTTCCCTGTTTCATAAGGACACTGGTAAAATCTTTTCATGAGATAATGGTTGCTGCCCTCCTCATTTAGTTACCTTTAATAAACACAAAAGGACACCTGATTGTTATCTAGCTGTGGCATCTTGTTGCTTTTTTGCTATTTTATGCTTTAGTTTCATGCAGATAGTTGTGGCTGTTGCTGGCGTCATTTTTACTCCCTCTCAGTAGATGGCACTGTTTTATCCCTTTGGTGGTTTCAGCCTGAACCTGCTTTTGGGTTCCATTTCTGGCCATTGGCGCCATCTTGTGGGGATGATGCATGCAGACACAGAGGACTGGATGGGTGTTTGATGTAGCAGCAACTGAAGCAAAGTTACATTTCAGAATACCAAACACTTTGTTGAGTTTGTAAATACTGTGTGGATTCTCTGGCTCTCAGAGTTTTCTGGATTTAGAGTTTAAATGTTTTTCCCTCTGAATGTAATTTGGTCTTTTAGCTGTGGACTGGGCGGCGTTGGGGGATCAATCTTTAGTTTGCCGGTGGTATGATAGTTGGTCAGATTATAGAGTTGCTAAGATGAAGAGAGTTATTATGATAATTATAATTTGAGGAACTTGATTTCTTTAAGTTAGCAAATATGTTTGGAAGATTGGAGGAAATTGTTTTAATGCAAGATGTACAGGGCAGATCCATTCCTTATAATGTTTTTTTAGCTGCAGATTTGAGATTTTGAAATTTTCTGTAAAGGTTGGAACTGAGGAGGATCCTCAACTGGGATTTCAAATTATTACTGATTGTTTTAGTATGAAGACATGTGTTTTTCTATAAATTGGATGCTTCCTGATACCCTAAGAATACAGAAATAGAAGTTCAGTAAAAAAAAAAAAAAGGGAAATGACTCCCATTTCTACACTATTTTGATACATCACTTTATGCTTTCCCAAAGTTTTCTATCTTTTATGAAATTATAACTGAAATCAGGGATGCCTAAAATTTCTAAAATAGTGTTCTCCCATGAATCGACTCTTGAAATTTCTTTAAATTTAAGTAAGTTTAATTTCCATTACTTCTCCACTACATGTTTGTTTGTATCGCACAAAAACTGATCCTGCCTTCTTTATTACGGAAGATGGCAACTAAACTTCCAAAATTCATTATTGGCAAATGTTGAGGGGGGCAACCATTATATTTGTATTGGTCATGTATATAAGTTAAACCAGACATGTCACTCTTTATTAAGCCTTTCAACTTTTTTTTTTTTTTTCCTCCTTTCCTTGTGTTAGTCATGTTATAACAAGTTAGATTTTTATATGTAAAGGCTGAACAGATATGTCTAGAGAGAATCTTTTTTTACAAGTGGTGTGTATCTATACTAGAGTTAGAATGACAAACAGCTGGAGCACATTTCTGTTCATGTCTTAAAAAAGCATTTAAAAGAAAACGAAAAATACCAATAAAAACATGGCCAATATACCGTAAACATGCTGGTATGTGAAGCCGGTTAAACTTTAGCTCTAATATGTGTGCTTGGTTATGTGTGATGTTCATGTGTCTGGTGCCTTTTACAATGACGTCTCTTTATATGTGTGACACATTTTAATCTTTTGTACTTTGCAGAAGCTGTAAGTTTGTGGATATTTTCCCACAGTATCATATTAATACTTATGGAAACATTTCCTATGTCAGTATTAAACTGTTTTTATAAATTTTTTTTTTTTTAGGCTAAGATATTTCAAAACATCCTACTTCGCTGCTAAACTTTGCACTGAATTATCCTGAAACTTTATCATGGTGACATCCGGATGTGCAGCCTCATATTACATAGACCCAAATAATAACTTTACTTGGATTTAATTCGGATGGAAGAAATTAAATAACAAGAAAAGGAGTTTTAAATTGAAATGAATATCTTGGATATTTTGATCAAACATTCCATCTGCTGCTTATCTGGATGACATCCTAGATTAAGATCCTTATTTTATTTTTTAAGCTAAAATCTTGTTTAAAAATTAATTTTTTTAATTTGACCATTTTGCATGCAGCAGTGTTTAGTGGTATTTGCTTTCTAGCTGGGAATTAATTGAAATGAGGTACTTGAAAAGCAGTTGCATATCATGAAGTTATTACAATCGGATAAGCTGAGGAAATGAAGCCAAATGTTTCCAAAATTCCTTCTTGTAAACAAGAAGCTTCAGATTGTATACTTCAAGATGTTTTATTCCCTTTAAGTTCAACCATTTGAAGGTTTCTCTTCACCTGTGTCATATTTCCTGTATTTTATGTGTTGAATTTTAATATGGTAGCCAATCCTATGGATTTTAAAGGAGTAACAGCAATGCTGCTTATATCAATAATATTATCAGACATTGTGTCTTAATAATGGCAGACATAGATTCATATTGAATCTTTTGTACTTTTATGATGAAGAATTACTTGCATGAACACTGTGAATGTTTAAACTGGATGTGGAAATATTGCATAGAAAATATTGCACTGAGCAGTTGAACTAGTAACAACTTCTATATTGGGCCACATAATGTGGTTACAGTAGATTTTATTTATTTTTTTATTCGGGGGCGGGGTTATTTATTTATTTATTTATTTTTTCTGACCTTTAATTAAGAAGCTATGTCAGCCGTTTATCATTTGGTTTCAGAAGGTTTATGCCAGCATTGGTCAAAGTTGTGACATAGCTAATTCCTCAGAACCACTAATGAATTGTTTTTGTTTTTTTTATCAGGTGAAAGGATTCGGATATTCTATAGAACTGCTGTCATTTCAATATAATTTTCATTTCATGTTTCTTTTTTTTTGTTTCCAGATTGATCCCAGCTCTTAAAAGAGGCATTAGCAAAAGTCTTAATTGGCTTTAAGCCCAAGTGACCATACCAATGGCTAAGCATGTGGTAACTCTTTTTATCCTAGCTTGATAACATAATGGTACCTAAACAGGATTGTTTGTCACTGATCAGACTGTTGTAACTAATTTCTAACACTTTTTTTAATATTCACAGTGCCTACCTGCATATATTTGTTTGACAGTTATGATTTCTAAAAAAGAAAGCGTTCAGGGTTTTACCATTTTTCAACATTCAACATGTTTGTTAGCTATTAGCATAGGTAGCATCGCAAAACAATGCCAACATTTCCCAAAATCGGTGTGCTCCCTAAATGTAAGAGAAAGCTCAAGAGAATAAAATAATACACATATAAGCCTTCCTGTTATCTGCTGAAAGCTCTGCTCTTTATCGCTCTCCTGCAGCCTGAATGCAGCTCACTCTTGTCTCCCCATGCTATTCACTGATTTCTGAGAAAAAGACGAAGCTAGCTGAACAAATCGATGGGTTTGTCTTTCTCTTTGAGCAACAACTTTCGTCATCAAAGAGGGCTGGGAAAATCATTTTGACAGTTTGGAAGTGTATTATTATTTTCTTTTGGGTTTGCTGCCACTCAGAAAGATAGAGAGCTGCAGCTAGCATGGAGATCCATGCATGCAAGGGAAGTAAGCACTTTTTCGCATAAAAGTTACGGAAAAACAAGCTTTCAAGATCACAAAAAAAAACCTCTAGAACAAATAATCTAAAAGCTAGTGTTTAGTGCAAAAGAAAAAAAGATTTTGTTGTGGATTTATAGTCGGATCACATATCTAACCATTGGTATGGTCCATTTCCTGTGTTGTAGTTTAAATGCAAATGATTTTTGCATTTAATGCTGTTGTGTTCGGATTAACCTCATCATTTTATCTTCAACAGAATGATCCCGATTGGAGCTTTGTGGTGGAGGCAAGATGCTGCTATGTCACATTTCTTCTGTTTCATATGCTTTACACTCAAGGTTGGTTTTGTTTTTGCACTCTGGTCTCAGATTTAATGTTGACGTTTTTTTATCCCCTAACAGCTGCAGCTGATCTTCCTTTACCACCTCTTACTTCCTTTGCTCTTCTTCCTACTTAACGCACACAAACGTGTTTCTTACCCTTCCTTTGACCACCTCTGTTGACGAGTCAGTTGCAGCAGTGTGGCCAGCCTGGATTACCTTTGTTTGTTAGCCCAGTGGATGGAGGTTTCTACTTATGTGACGACTTCTGGGCTCGCAGAGCAACACGTTACATAAAGCGAGCCGCTTTAAGGCTTCTTTCTCTGCACCAAATGATCCTCCAAGCCTGTTGACAATCACTGTTGGTCAAACAAAAGTCATTAAAGGAAGCTTCTCTGGACTCCTGATGTGAAACTGTGAAATCCAAAATGTTGGGAGTTTTCTATGGATATTGTTAAGAAAGCATCATGTGATATGCTTACGCCCTTGACTGACATTGCAAATGTGAAATGATAATGTTTGAGACTATTGTTCCATCTGTTTGATGCTGTAAATGTGGACATTCTTCAACACAATGTACTTTTAATCTCATGAAATGTTCCTGTGAAGTTGTGATTTGTTAAACTGGACACCAAAAATGGAAAATAAACTTTTTGATGCCAGAAACGGATGTGTTGTAATTGACTAACTGGGAAAGGAGGCTTTTCTGGGTGAAGAATTACAAGAAAGTGATTTTTTTATGCTGATGTATTCACTAAAAGAATTATGAAAATACAGTTATTTCTCTACCTTTTAATTACGGGTGTAATAAACTTTTATGATTATGACTGACTTTGCTTAGATTTCTCCAGAATTTAATTGATGGAGATGGACAATTTTATTTTTTCATCTTACAGACAGGCAGAGCTTCATCGCAAAGGAGCTTCCCGTCATGGCTTGGAAGCATTTCATGAGTATGTCAGACAGATCCTACAGTAGACATTGGCTGTTTACCATTAGTAAAGAATACTGGAGTGTGAGAGGTTGTTGAAGGCTGACGCTCTCTGCCTCCTACACAAGTGGCTGGTTAGTTATCTCTATTTTTCTCATCATACTGACCACTCAAAGAGCCTTACATCTGAGCTACATACACCTTATCCCCTCTCTCCTTAAAACAAATCATAAATCAAGTGCCTTCCTCAGGTGAACCATTGATACATTGACATTACTATTTTTTTATGTATTT